CCCCTCCCTAAACCAGTTTGAACCAGTTGGAGCTGCTGGGGTTTAGGTCACCTATCAGTCACAGTGATGTTAAACTGCCTCCTCCTGTTAGCATGTGGGATGGAGGCGGAGCTTTTAATGTCCGATCTGGGTCTTCATGGAGGTCAAAGGTTGTGGTGTTTCTATCTGCAGGACCAGCTGGAGCTGCTGTACTCAGCGGGGCCAAACGTTGCTGCTGAAAGGTAACCTTGGAGCAGCGCTGACCCTCGGTGGGCTTAACTTCAGCCTCTCATTAGGAGCTGTGCTCTGCTCCTCAGGGTTTCCCAGCTCCTGTCCCTCGCTACGACCCTGTGCTCCCAGGAATCTTCCGGTCTGGGCCTTCCTGATTTCCCAGTGGATAACCTGCCTGCTGCGCTCCATGTTCTGGTCAGACTGGGAGTTCATTCCTCGCTCTGTTTTCATATAAAACCCATTCCTAATGTTTAGTATTATTTCCTTCTGCTGCAGAACACGTTCCCCATGCTGTCCTCTCAGCAGCTTGTCCAGAGACTTTATCCCTACAAGAGCATCCTGGGAAAAGATGGACACACGGCTGTGGAGAGCGTGCTGAGTGTAAGGATTGAAAGGGCTGCGTTTCATTTCCCAGGAGAATGAGTCCTAAACACGCATCGTTTACTCTCCATGCAGCGCTTCGAGCTGTCAGACGGCCGCCGTCAGGCAGCGCCCAGCAGCGTTCTGAGCGTTTCCACATCCAGGGAAAGCGAAGGCCAGGCCGACGTCACCGTGCAGAGCGCCGGTGAAGAAGTCACCTTTCAGGTAGAGTACAGGACCACCTTTATCAGCAGGAACCTTCACTTTAGCAGCGAATCAGGTGATGCCAACATGGCAACTATGAGATTTCAGATGCCGAAAAAGCCCTGCTAAGCGAAAACCGTAGAAGGTATTCAAAAGATTGTTGTACTGTGAGCGTCAGCCATTGATTGGTGCATGTATGTCATTAATAACAATATTTATGAAGGTGTAAAAACGCGTATTCACATTCGTTTTTCTTCCCTCTTGTCGAAAATCAATGGAAAAACTGTCAAAATTTCCTGAACTTTCGGTCGGCCTGGAGGCGTTTTGAGGAAAAGAATAAATCCTACGATAATTCCAAAGACATTGTATGAAAGCAGAGACTTCAGTCTACAAAATGACCAAAAATAGTGACTCTAAAGATAAATATGCGGCCGTGACCGCTACTTCAAAACTTTTGATCCTTTTAAAAAAATGGCTGCCTCACATTCTGATAAACCACCTACTCTGAGTAGCTGGATTTTGGTTAGATTTTGTGGTGCTTTAAGGCTGATTTTTTAAAAACTGTAGCAGTTATTAACATACCGTCTTCAGTTTTTGAAAGATGAAGGATTTATCTACAAACTGAGCTTCAAACGGTGTTTCTAGGTGAATGTATGACCACACAGCAAAGGGTCAAAAATAGTGGATTTTTATGTTTTCTTTCTCCCCTCTCCCCATTTATTCCTACGGGATTTTTATGCAAGGTTTTTGGCGAATTACGTCACCATGGTAACTCCAATCACTTAAGTAATAACACCCACGCGGAGATCAAGCCGGACATTTTGACACCCATATTGCAATGGCATTCTATGCCCCTTGCATTACAGGCAATGAAAATTACTCTGAATTAAAAACACTGATTATTTATTGAACAGGATGGAATCATTTCATAATTAAAGAACTTTCGGAAGTTTAAAGTCTGGATATGAGCGGACTTTTCCTTTAACGAAGATCATCATCCAACTTTCCTGCTGAAGATACTTCCTCTGTCAGTCCAGAAAACATGATAGAGAAATACATCAAAGGTCAGAGCGATCAGCTTTCAGATTAGGTTCCCATTAGCAGATGGAGAAAAAACAAAATCTGAGTCCTGAGAGGAGAGGATTGCTTCCCGGTCCGTCAGTACGAGTCTAGAATGTGACGTTCGGAGTGTCGGTACAAACAGAAGAAGATTCAGGATCATCTCTGGACTCTTTAGCCTGGTGAGACCATCCTGATCTCGCGAGCTTTCAAAGTTTCACTCACAGATCAGTCTGGAGACTCTCCGTTGAAGAAAATTT